GGCACCTTTCCAAACCTGGTTCCCAACCTTATGAAACAGCAGCCCTTCATAGAGCAACCCAAACTGACTTAGCTTGACTCAGCGAGTTACCCTTTTGCTTGGATCACTGGAAGTAGGTAGCCAGACAGCGGCGGGACCGTAAATGTCGGAACAGTGGCGGCTTCCGAATACTGGCTGTATCACAAAAGAGTGGAATAACAGAGCCCTTATTCCTGCAGGAGTATTCTGAGGCCGCTCTTCAACTAGCATATACGGGGAGCGGAACTAGCAGTTTACCCTGAGGAATCAGAAACCACAATCCCGAAAAATCTGAAATGAGGCGAGCCAGACCGTTCACACAGGAACGTTTCTAGGCTCCTCCCCTTCTCCTGACTTCCGGTTCCGTCCTCCCAGCTTCCGTTTTGAAGCTTCCTTTGAAGGAAGAGGAGCCTTTCCAACGGAAGCGCCCAGGCTCGGCGGGGTTTTCGGGGGTTGTTTTTGGAAGGGGTCAGAGGCGCGGAGGGGGCTGTCGCAGCGATGGAGAAGCTGCGGCGGGTGCTGAGAGGAGAGGACGACGAGGAACAGGGCCTGACGTCGCAGGTGTGGCTTGGGGGGCGGAGGAGGGGGGCGGGGAAGGCGAGAGCGTCCTTTCGAGTTTCCCGCTTTAGCTCCGGGGTTTTGGGGCCGGGTTTTCGGGGCGCCCTGGCGGGATTTCCGTGTTTCCTCGGGGCTAGCGCAGCGTTACTGTTCTCGTGACGAGAGAGCCAAAGCAACTCGCCAAGGCAAATGGAGGCTCTGTTCTGAGCAGTACGGATGGCACCTCTTGGCCAGACTGGCTTCCTCTAGATTCCCTGGATCATAGGCTCCATCATTCCCTGCCGGCGAGGTCGCGTCAGTGCGGACGGTGGTATTTGTTTGTCCACGAGGAAACGCTAGGCTAGGAAAGCTCAATCTAGGCTACTCTGAACGTAGCTGGATAAAGTGTCGTCGTCCCCTCCGCCTCAACTGCTTTTACCAGTCTGGGTGCCAGCAAGGAACACAAAAGCAATCGGGCTAAACGAAGCTTGCTTTAAACTGAGTTTTAGGAAAGTTATTGCCTGCTGAAAGAAAATGAGGACCTGTATTACCCTGTTTCTCCAACAATA